TAAGTTTTTGAGTTTTGGTCTTTTTTTCTAATACTATAGGCAATAGTTCAACTATATTTGGTGTATGAAAATATTTTATGATGTACATGTCAGTCTCGCAGGTTTTATTTGACCTTGACCTCATTTTCACGGTTCATTTCTAAGTGTTAAGTTTTTGTGGTTTGGTCTGTTTTTCTTCAACTATAAGCAATAGATCAACTATATTTGTTGTATGGAAGAATTGTAAGGTGTATATGTCTGTCTGGCAGGTATCATCTGACCTTGACCTCATTTTCATTGTTCATTGGTCAATGTTAAGTTTTCATGGTTAAGTTTGTTTCTTAGATACTATAAGCAATAGGTCAACTATATTTAATGCATACATTGATTGTAAGGTGTACATGTCTGTCTGGCATGGTTCATCTGACCTTGACCTCATTTTCATGGTTCATTGGTCAATGTTAAGTTTTCTTGGTTAAGACTGTTTCTTAGAAACTATAAGCAATAGGTCAACTATGTTTGGTTTATTGAATGATTGTAAGGTGTACATGTATTTCTCGTTTGGTTTATCTGACCTTGACCTCATTTTCTTGGATCATGTTAAGTTTATGTGTTACTTGTAGTAAAGCTTTATATTTAGGACTATCAACATAAAATCAATGGTTAGTAAAGAAGGCGAGACATTTCAGCGTGTGCACTCTTGTTACACATAGGTTTTGGGCAAATTATATTTGAGCCAAGGGTTTATTATTAACTACTGGAGATATTCTACCCACATTAACATCTTTAATTAAATTTGAAATCCTATTTAAAATTTTACGGATGCCATCACGAGTTGGTTGACCACTATAGACGATCTGTTCCACAGATGACGACGGATATGTTCCAATTGTAACCACAATACCGTCCTCATTTCTTCCAATGTGACCTACTGAATTAGAAAAAAAATAGGCGAAGGATACCAAAGTGACATTCAAACTCATAAGTCGAAAATAAACTGACAACGCCATGGCTAAACACAGAGAAAAAGACAGACAAACAATAATACACAAAACACAACATAGAAAACCAAAAACTGAGCAACACAAACCCCACCAAAAACTTGGGGTGATCTCAGGTGCCCCGGAAGGTTAAACAGATCCTGCTCCACATGTGACACCCGTCGTGTTGCTCATGTTAGTACAAACCTAATGATAAGTCACATTCGGGGAAAAGGGGACGGGATTGTAGTTACGACTATTGGAACATATCCGTTGTCATCTGTGAAACGGATAGTCCATAACGGTCAACCACATCGTGATGGCGTCCGTAAAATTTACGAACGAATGGTTTCAACTTCACCACTTGGAACTCTTGGTTTAACGGCTTTCTAGACTTACCACTGGTTTTGTACTTACATAACCAACACGACGTATTCTCAGTCTTTAGTTTTCTATGTTGTGTTTTGAGTACTGTTGTTTGTCGTTTGGACGTTTTTCGTTTTTGACATGGCATTGTCACTTTGTTTTCGATTATGAGTTTGAATATCCCTTTGGTATATTTCGCCTCTCTCTTAAATAAGACATCTTTAATTAAAAAAAATCTTTTCGATAAGGCCCTTGCTCATATTCACATATTGATGACAAGATCTCAAGGTGAGATGATGCAGTTTTCACAAATTTTTCTTAATTGCAAATATATGTAAATAAAAGCAACAGTAGTATACCGGTGTTCAAAAGTCATAAATCGATTGAGAGAAAACAAATCCGGGTAACAAACTAAAACCGAGGGAAACACATCAACTATGAGAGGAAAACAAAGGAACAACAGGAGCAATGAAGTGCAACAAAAACAAACGCCACCATACATAGAAACGAACTATTTGATAACAACTGCCATATTCCTGACTTGGTAAGACAGAGAATAAAACATACATTTGCTTTTTGTGTATTTTTGCTGTGTATTTACTGATTTTGTGTCATGGATGAATACCCCATATCCTTTGTTTTTCTATTTTATAATGATAACTGGCAGAATGTCTAATGAACATGTGATGGATGTTTTTTGATAGATTCAATATACTTTTTGGTTTTCGAAATTCAAGGAGCCAAAAAATAAACTGCCCTTATATCTACTCCTTCCAGGTTACAATTTGTTTTCAATCGCATTTCAATGATCAGACAGTCTGAGGTAGGAACGTATGTCCTTTTTTATCTCTTCTTTTGACTGTACATGACATGAAATGATCGAAGACAATAGCATACGCTAAACAGTCCATCCCTTTTGAAAATTAGTTTGGATAACGTTAACAAGTTTTACTCCACCAGGTGTGTATTTCGACCAACATTGTCCTCAGTGATGCACAAGGACAAAATATTTGAAAATCCACTGAAATGAATATAAACGTTGAAGAGCTGATGAAACAAAAAAACCGTACAAGGAATCAGAGATATGATATAAACATAAGATGTGGTTTGACTCAGTGAAACAAATATCCAACCAAAGATGGCTTTAGTTAATGCATCTATGACCAACCAGAGAACACATGACGTGGATATGAATATATAGACAACAGTAGTTTACTGATGTTAAAATCTCATTAGTCGAGAAAGAAGGCAGATCAAAATAACAAACATGCTATGCATGCATCGAAGCAACTATCGGTCACCGTATCTGACTAGTGGGCGTGTGATTCTCTGGGAGAGGAAACCTCCACCAGCAGTGGCATCGACCCAGTGTTAATTTATTTATCTGTTTTACTTTATGTTAAACAATACAATAATATTGTATTTTGCATACACATAGATGTTGATTATTTATTTGTCAGCTACTCGTTTTGAAAGTGGAAAAAAAATGTAGACATAAAAAGTCAATTTTCCCTTTTTAGAACTACTGGGCTACTTGTCAGAATATGTTGTCATTTCATGACATCCTATCTGAAATGAACTTTTCGATTTTTCAGAAAAGTAGTTTCAACCAAACATTCAGTATTTCACTAATCCAACACAATATTCATATTGAGCAAGTCCCCAGAACTCTTATAAAATCACCGGGGATGTAGAGCTGGATTTACCTACTGAGATACTTTGAACACGATCTATAGACTGATGGCAACAAGGAAATGTCTTGAAGACAGGGGTGTCCCGCTCGGCGCTTATTTCCATTTTCGATGGAACTCCCCCATTTTACACAGCTGTTAGTCCATATCATGATAAATAAAGAGTACGGTACAAAATTTCATGAAGATTCGACTTGAAACTTTTTAGGAAATCATCTTAAACGCAAAGGTAAACCAAAGTGTAACTGACGAACTAACAGATGGACGAACAGACAGAAAAACTATATTTACCACAACAATGTTGTCTGAACATAAAACATGAAACTGATCATCAACCTTACTTGGATACATTTGTCTCTTTGGAGCACACACAGAGACGCTAGTAGCTAGTGCCCTATGCGCTAGTGGTGACCATCGCCCATAGTGTCCATAGTGTATTTGAAGCAATAACCCAGACCAACGTAAATTTTTTTTAAGAAACAAAAATGGTCCAAAAATGATCATAACTTGACAATTTGATAGCTTATCAGGCTCTAGATACAATGAAACGAAGACTTATAACCGACTATAGATACAAAAAGGGTCACAAATAATTCAAAATTGATTATTTGAAAACTGCATGTTGATTTAAGATGAAAATCGAACTTAACTTGTAGTTTATAGTGCTAAACAATTGGGAACAAATGAAATAAATCTTTGATCCGTTCTCAAGTTTTCATCTGGATACCACCATGGGACGGTCAGACAGATGGAAGTACAGATACCCATCCATGTAATACTTCTCTACTGCGTGTAGTGGAGTATAATAAAGTATACAAAAGTGTGACAGATGGCAAGATCGTTTTTAGCGTGGGTGAAGTCGCAGGTCGTTTTTTTCCAAATTTTACAGGTCGCAGGTCGTTTTTAGAAGGCCCTCAGGTCGAAATTCGCCTCTAAAAGGCCGGATGACGCAGATTGTTTTTGACCCTGCGGGAGCCTCCTTTGATGCCAATCAGCTATACGGGTTTGATGAATGATTAATTAAGTTATAAATTTTCTTTTCTAATGAAGTTGTATGTACTTATGTCCGTTGTAAATGTTTTTTTTTTGGTATTTGGTTTGACGAACGATGCATTGAATACATATATTTTTTTGCACTTTTTAAAGGCAACATAGAGGTTTTAAGGAATACTTTTCAACCTCTCAGTTGTGGTGTCGAAATTGAGGAAGAAATAAGGCGAGGTTGCTTCTAGTGAGTTTTAGTCTATTAAGGAAGAGAATGCTGCTCTTGTTTCTTAAGTGACAATGATCTAGTCAAATCCCTTTTGTGGATAAAGTAACTGTAATAGCAGTACGATATACACCTGAAGATGGTCCATGTATTTATTTCGGTTTCGGAAAACTTTGAAGTTGTGATAAGTCAACTGATGACATCTTTTCATATCAATAATCACATATTGTATATCCAGTAACAAGTTTTTCATAAAATTATTTTCATTTACTTTCAGAAGAAAATTGTGTGTCCTCAGTTCTCACCAACTTCGCCTTTTATTTGTCCTTTTTAGCTTTGTTATTCGAGCGTCATTAATGAGTCTTGTGTAGACGAAACGCGCGTCTGGCGCACACAGTATTAAGTCTGCATGGTATCTATGATGAGTTTATTGTTGTTAAGTCTTTGGTTTTCTGTGGTGTTCTGTGAACGGTTTTTCTTTTCGTCTTTTTTCTTTTGGCCATGGTGTTTTTATTTGAATTTCTGTTTTTGATTGCCCCCTTGGTATATTTTTTACTTTTTTATAATACAAGTGCACATGGACCATATGTTTTATCAGTGTTTATCGGTATGATAAGTTCTTTGCACATATTTGTATTAAATCCATGTTACTACTTTAACATTAACTTATACTCCAACATAGTTTGCCCAATTCAATTAATTTAAACAAAACCAAGTATTTTTAAAGTAGTATTTACTAGTAACATACTTGAACAAAGCCAAACAAAAAACAAGCGTTGTTTAAACAATTTATTGCGTAAATCTTCAATTATAAAGTGTAAAATATATTACATTGCGTGCATACATATTGCTTAAATTTGTAAAAAAAAACGACGGATTTTTAACTGGAAACACAACAGTGTTTCATCAAAGTATTTTAAATATCTAAAAAAAACATTAAATGAAAAAAAAACTTTTAACTCAACGATAAAATGTTAAATAAACATAAATTAAGGAACATTGGTTTTAATGCTGATCTATATTTTAACAGATTAAGGTGGTCAACATACATGTAACAGACCTATGTGCAAGACCTTTCAAGGACACACCGGTCATTTATAGGGATATTTTTGTGTATTTATTATCCGTAAAACCATGTTTTTCCATCATAGAAGAATAAAGAATTTAAAGCATTTCAGATCATACAAAAGCTTACACGTGCCATTGATATATAAATTAAATATACATGTAATAATATCACAGATAATATTGTAGCACCAATTAGTGTATACAAGTAGATAAAAAAAATAACCTACACATGTTTCTTATTGGTACAATCTGACTATACAAATTATGACCTCTAACTTGAATTGAATGAAGAAAAGTATTCTTTTAACCGCACCATACTTCTTATGGGCCATAACATTAGAATATACGCCTACTTCATACAACAAAGTAAAAAGGATTGTCGATGGTGAAATTTATGACTATGAAAATGTTAGGTTTTAGTAGAAAATATGAAACTTATATGGCAATGACAAAATTATTTGATATTTAATTTGTTGTAAATATTGCTTCAAAGGTTATTAAACTACAATCCTTATTTATTCTAACAAGAAGGTGGAAATATTGAAAACAATACTTGCTGAAAATTTTGTGAAAATGTCTAATATCCTTTGTCACGCTTCGCAATAACCCTTTGAAATAGTCGAGCGTGTTACATAACATCCTTTCCATATCATTAATTAGTAATAACTACAAAAATATTCAAATTATAGGCAATACATTTTTAAGAACACAAAGCAATAACAAAATAATTACTGTTCAGAAAGAAATCAGCATGAAGTATTATTGTAATAAAAGCTGGCATGTTGAAGCCAATTATTTGGTACTTGTGCGCCTAATAATATTTTATTTTCCCAATATCAAATGAAAGTGATAGTCAATCGTCGAACTGGGTGGTAATATTTTTCTTTAAATTATACTGCACTTGCTTTACACTTAATACAAAATTTCAGAAGACATATGCTACGGGATCACATAAGCAGTTGAAAAATTGAAATTGCGACTATATACACCCAGTTAAAAAAATCTTTCAGATTAATTTTCCGTTGAATATGCAATCAAACTTTTACTTAGAAAATGTAAATAAACTGTTGACCCTACCAACGGCATACCGAACTTACGAAAACTAAGAAATAATAAAAAAAAAAAGAGAGTTACCAAAACATACCGTACTTAAAAGCAAAACATCACTTTACTATGTTTCTACAATATTATTGAACGTTTGATTGACAAAGGCTGACTATAAAAATAAATAAATAATTCTGGACGAGCTGATTACACAAAAAAATAACAACAAAATGATATTTAAAGACAGGCATTTCATAACAGTATTAAATACTGTCAACTAAGATGTAGACACAGTTTCTGTGTCCAATCTCTTTATCAAAAATGACCAAGAAGTTGTTAACACAGTGTCTGTATCAATACTGACACAGACTAAGATGTCGACACAGTTTCTGAATCAGTAATGACAAGACATCAATACAGTTGTGTCAATACTTACAATATGTTAATACTGTTTCTTGGCCAATACTGTTCAGTTAGATGTCAACACAGTTTTTGTGTCAATACTGAATCGGGATTTAGTTTTTTACGATTAAACAGAAGACATTTATTCTGACAATCATGACTTCATCATTAATAGATGCCACCAACAAGACTTAACATGCAATACTGACGTTAAATGATTATCGACAATGATGACATGAAAGACAAACTTTTGATACATATACATAGAATTGAGTGCCATTTCTACGGATGATTTTATAAACAGAACGGTGAAAAGTGATATTTTGCCAATGAACAATGACAAGCTGGTACTAAAGTGTTCAAGAAAAAAACATTAAAATATTATGCACATGAAGGAAGAAGGTATGATAAGCCACAGTTCATATCGCTTTGAACTCGAAACTCAAAATGTATTATGAGTATATCAAATATCATCCTTTAAATGTGCACAAGTATGCAAGATATCTGAATCAATATTTTCCTATGAAACTTGCGTAGATCTTTCTTGAAACGTCTTGCATTTAAGAAAAAGAAGTAAAATCTGCCAAAATTACATAAAATGTGATCTTCAAATTACTATTTATATAGGCAACAACATTACACATATCAATAAAAACAAAATCACATATTAAGAAAGAAAAAGGGAAATCTTTAATCATAAAAAAATGTATTTTGCAATTTTAAAGGACAGCTAATGACTCATACCTTCTCCTTATATATTATGTACGAGTTAACATATGTTTTTGAGATTTTGCTGTTTCTCTTGTTTGAGAATAACTTCCGAACAAACTTTTTATATTATTAGTCATAATCTTCTTCCTCTTCTTCCTCTTCTGATGACTCATCTGGAGCTTCACCAAACATATCTTCCCCACCTTGCTCTAACATTGTCAATGTGTTCTTTGACGTAAGTTTAAGAACAACGACGTCAGGGACTACTTGTAAACCAAATGTTATAAGCTGACCGTTCAGAGCTATATTTACACAGTTTATACGCATGTCTGGTGTGAAAATGGCTATGACAGATGCTTTTTCAATATCCCAAATAGAAATATCTCCAGCATACACTACAGCTCGCTTTCCCTCGTTTATGACGAATATTTTACTCTCAGTGCTAAACTCTAACCCACGATAACCTTTTATCTTTTGCAAAGACCTGGAATACATAGGATCCCATATATGCAGTTCATTCTTTCCTCTGCCTATGATCACACGTGACGCATTGTCTGTGATTCCCAATGCCATAACGTCACTTTCATTTTTCAATCTTTTTTTAACATTTCCAGTCGTGCAGTCCCACAAAGTGACAAAACTCATCTTATTTTCCTCGTCGTAATTTGCATGAACTATGTAATCGCCCTCGTGTGTGATAGCGGACACATGTAAAAACAACATTGAAGTTTCACTCACCATAGTCTGCACATGTTTTTTGTCGACTATGTCAAAAACACACATATGATGAGCAAAGAAAGACGCTACAATAATACGATGGTTTCCGCTTATGACGTATTGATCAATGTTATTGTCTTTTTCATTTTTCAGTTCATCTATTCTTTTCTTTTCAACTTCCATTTCCTTTTGCTGTCTCCTCTTTTTCGCCGATAATGTTTCGGATCTACGATCCCATGGCGTCATTGTTACTCCAAGACCAGGTTTGTTAAGGAAGGAATTTTCCTTAACTCCAATTCCCCTTTTCTTTTCTATATCTGCAAAGTTTGGCCTGATTCTGTCATCTGGGTTTCTGGTATTCATGTTCCAAATAACAAAATGATTTCTAGAATCAGATAAACTAAGGAGACGGTCATCATCAAGGAGCACATATTCATGCGCCGGTAATGGCGGGATGAAGCAACTGTCTAATTTGCGTATAAAGCGTTTTGACTGAAGGTCATATGTTAGAAGAGTTTTAAAGACCGGTCTTGATGAATCTGTATTTGCAGAGAATCCCTTATCAGTCAATACGATGACTCTTGTATTCCGAATCAGGACAACATCGGATGAATCCGAGAGCCCCCTTTCTATTCGGACAGCCTTGTCCAAACATTTTGCTTTTGCAACATTCCAAATGCTTACAGGACCATTGTTCATTTGTCGGGCGACCACATATCTTGGATTGTCAACCATTGGCACAATTTGATTAACGCCAAGGTTTTTCTTTAATTTAGGTTGACTCTGATTTATTTTTGCACTTATGTTCCATATGTGCAAAGAACGGTCATTTTTACTAGCAGTGAGACAGAACCTAAAATCTGAACAAGCTCCCATCGTAGATACACCCGAGTGACGGGCTAAATGCTTGTGGTCTTCGGTTTCCACGTTCCAGATTGCTATATCGGTGGTACTTGTTTGTTCGTTTGCATTTATGCAAATGGCATGAGATCCGATATAATTCAAATGCATCTCAGTTATGCGATCATGTATACAACCACGGACACTACGGAGGTATCGACCTTTTTTCTGCTCAAACAATTCTAGCTGAAATATTTCATGAAGTTTCATAAAATGTTGTCTGCATGCCATAATATAGTAGTCTCTTGTAATACCAAGACTTGTAACAGAGGAGGAATCCTCGCTGCACTTTAGTGTGTGCATATGTTTCCCTGTTCTGGCATGATGAACTGCTCCTTCGTTTGCTCCCCTAAAAGCAACAAGTATTCTTTCGTCAAACGAATTTGGGGCAATTAGAACAGATCTCTCTTGAAATACTTTATGATTGTCAATAGTTACAGAAGATAACATTGGATAATCACTTTTTCCTAAGTTCCAAGTGCGTAACATGTTACTGCCATCAAACAATGCACACAAATATTTCCCTTCACCAGCAATTCCAATTTCCGGTGGATCTACATATTTATCTATTACTAGTACAAGTTCATTGTAGCGAATATTCCAAACTTTTATTACACTACCCTCCACAGTTACTATTAAAGCATTGTTCATAGCAGGACGAATTAATCGAACATTTGTTCCAACGTTTTCAATTGTTCGCATTACTTTTCCAGTTCTTAGATCCCATAACTTCATTGTATTATCCTTTGAACAAGTGAGCGCTTTTAATCCATCTGTTGTTAAAGTCACTGCTGTAATGGGATCAGTATGTCCAGAAAGTAGGTCAAATAGTACACCTCCAGGTTGTGTCAAACATCCAATTGATGGAATTAAGGATAACACAGACGGCACTTTCGCTTGGTTCATAAAAGTATGCAAAAATGGATATTTTCGTGGGTCCCCGGGTGAAGTCGGAACATCTTTGGCTAGAACTCCTTGTAATCGACCTACCATTTGAGAAGCTAACTGTCTCGGGTCTTTAGTAAGTGCTTCGCCGGATAATTGTATGGCATCTGACAGTGTTCTTATGTCCATGTCACCTGGTTCAGTCATAAGAGATGTTTGATACTCCTCTACCAGTTCTCTAAGAGATGTGCCACACAACTTGGCAAGAACCCACTCAAAATTGCATAACGTATGACTTTTGAAATTTTCCATTTGTTGTGAATACAAAAGATGATATGGTAGTTCATTTGTTTTCCTTACATTGTAGAAAACTTCCTCATCCTCGGCCTTGGATTCAAAATGCATTGGCTGGGAAGAAACATATCGAAGACTTCCTCGTGTATTTCCACCGAACGGTTTTGGTTTCTCTGCCCATTCTCCCATAAAGTATTCAGCCATTGCCTTGTGGTAAGATGGTGCTTTATCTTTGTTTTTTAGATATCGGTCTGTTGCAGCTTCGTTAAACTGACCATGCGACCATCGAATTGTATTAATATTGTACGTCTTACTTTCTGTCAGGTAATAACTAAGCTCCTCTCTGATTTTTACCCATATGACTTGTGGAAAATGGCGACGTGGAGGTGTATACCTAACTGTAACTTCATCCATCACAGCATCATCAAGTGACAGAAGGTCTTCCATCTCATTATCCGTCAACCCACTCCTGGAAGCAGCAATATAACCTAACGCACGTTTGATGGTAGCTTCGCCATATTTTAATTCCATTTTAGAAAATTTGAAACCAGCCATTTTCTTGACAGTATCCATCAACTTACAATGCTCAGGATCCATATAAGACGTCCACGACAACGCCTCATCATATGCGACTTTTAGAAAAAGTGGAAGTGGACAGGCAGTGAACTTGTCAATAATCAAATCAAACTGGTATTGTTGAAGAGCACGATTATCTTTCATCAGCCAATGATTTAATATTTCAACTGCATCTTCAACCGGTAAATCTGGTAATTCAATAAAAGCATCATTACGCAACATCTTTTTCATTTGTGGGAGACATTCATATTTTTCATCAGGACTAGTTGACACGATGACGTGTGCATAATGTGGTAATTTCTTCGGTAACCAGCTCATCTTGCGCCCATCATGTTCATCTGAAATTATTGATGCAGAAAGTTAAATAAATTAGTGTTTAAAATTTTAAATTCATTAATCACTGGTAACGAGTGTTGTTTAGAGAATTTGTTGGATTTTCTTACATCACATTTAAATATTTTTTATATTATTTTAATATGGTGATTTCTTACAAAAGATAAATGTTCACTATCATTCATCTGCCATTATTTTATCACATATACATATATATATCTTAATGTTCAAAAGTTCAAAAAGAAAGAACGAAACGGTGCAGATAAATAGCTAACTGCATAACAATACGAAATGACTTTTCTAAACATATAAATCTCTACATGAGGCGGTTATTTTGATTATCATGCAGGCCTCAACATTTATCACTTTTCGAATGTTTACTAGTAACAAAGAACACAACAACCATAATAGTAAGAAGATAACCAGCTAGGTCTGACTTATGCCTTTTTGTCCGACAAACATTACTTTTTACAACTAAACTGATGGGAAATGAAAAAAATCCCACATTCGTCGCCTCAACCTCTCTCAACATGTGTTTACAAAAATAAAAATAACTGTGAGTACAACATTAAACACGAAGAAAGTTTTTTTCTGTGAGACGCATAGGAAAACTCCAAGAATTGCACCAAACACAGACATCGGCAAATATGTTAGATAAATCTGAATGCCTACATATTACCAATTTGTCATGGTCCTGGTAATGATTCTTGCTATTTGTTACGACAAATGATGTATAAAATGGTCCTACTCTGTTTTAATTGTTGGCACTCAAAGTGTGTCTGCTTGCGCCGAGACTTATAATTTTGATTAATTTCGTTATACTTTGTTACCTTTATATCTGATACCAATTTAGGTAAGAGGACTATGTTTGACAGTTCACAATTATACAGGTATATGTTAAATGCAACAATCTGCAAATTTAAATGAAGTTTTTGAAGGAATTGGAAAACATATGTTTTTTAATACCTTGTAGTATACCTTTGTGGTATCCGTCAATTGAGCTTATTTGTATTCAAGCTATGCCATCCACTTTTTCGAGAGAAAAAAAAGAAGAAAAGGTTTAGCTTCAAAATCTAGATAAAACATATGTAAAAACATCAGCCAAAATGAATTTACCTGTAAGCTGATCTAGCGAGTCAATGAGTACTACTAAATGAGTCTGCTCTGTTGCTTGTGACAATAGTTGATTGAAGAAGTTCATGAGTCCTTTGTACTCCTGTTTAAGAGAAAATATAGTTTATAAGCCAATACTTTTATAAACGAACCATTTCTACAAATCAAAGAGTCATAGAATTAGAACAACAATGTATTCGTTCTCTTGACATTATTCCTGAAAAAGATGCATTTTTTTTTTAAATGGTTGTGATCATGCCATTAAATTTTTGTTTGTATTTTAAAAGTTATAACATTTGTTTAAAAATCGTCAATGCTGTTACAGTTTATATAAATTGAGATGTAAACTGACCGTCGGCATGTCTTCATCGTCTGCATCCAAAATAAAACACAGCTGTTGACAAATATCTCTGAGAAGTGTTCGCACATTTACCGATGATGTTGTTTTACCAATGGATCGTATAACCATTCTCGCATCCACCCTAAAAAAGAATATACTAGATCAGTAAAAAATAATTTATGTTTGTGTTGCTCATGTTTATTTATATTTTCTCACAAATATTTCGTTTTATGTAACCTAGCTATTGTGTTTCCTCAGATATTTTAGAGGCACTATTAGTGAAGGAATGATATCGTTTTCCAAAGTAGTATTTGAAATAAAGTACAATGGGATTGACAGAATATTTTTGATATCTTGTTGAAGATATAAATGATAGTGACTACTTTTATTCAAGCTGGAATAAAAAAAAACTCATCAAAGATACCAGGCTTATAAAACTAGTAAAACTCACGTCTTGAACCACGTCTTTGTATCCCTTGCTACTTTTGACAGTAAAGCTGTTTTCCCACTACCACCAGGGCCGTAAACTACCAATGGAGATCGACAGTTTGATAACAGATAGGATTTTATAAGCTGTAGTTGCTCTTGTCGACCTTGGAAACTTCTTGCTCTGAAAAAGAAACACATTCATAAAAATTAAAACGTTTTCAGCAACTGCAATAAAGAATATTAAATTTTCAACTATATGAAATAAATAAATAAAAAATACTTACAGCATAACTGATTTTGTTAAATATCAAATATGTGTATTATGTTCCACTTATTCAATCAGTGAACTTATTTGCAAATGGTATTAAATATGATTTAAACTGCGTACTTACAAATTAAGTATATAAAGTTTCAATTTGAAAAAATAGTATTTCTTAAGTACCTCTGTTGACAGAAACTGACATGATGTGACACTTCGTCAAATAATTTCATCTTGTTTTCTTGATTTTTCATAGCTTCTAGATCCTGGTAAAGGCGATTCTGTATAGTTTCCTGGAGCTGTTTACACATTTTGTCGAGGTAAACCTGCTGATAACGACCACCACTCGTTTTTATTCCTCCAGCAACCCATTCAATCTCATAAGGCAAAACATTAGCTCCAGAAACCTATGAAGAGTATTGTAAATATATTATTATTTTCAAACGATTTCATGAAAAAGTATTTAAGGAATCAATCAAATTTTCTAAATTCTTTTGAATATTTATTAATCTTTTATCATATTAATATGTCTCCTCTTACTTTATAAATCTTAGCGATCGACGATAGTTTGTATGAATTGGTTGCCTTTTGATGAAACTTTACTGTTTCTATCAGCTTAGAAAATCACAGTGCATTCAATTCTATATCATTTCTAGCTGAACACTTGGTGTCAATTTATTTTTTTCTGTTCTCTCCTTCCGTACATTGTAAAATTGACTACTAATGGTTAAAAAAGTTTTGATACCAATGGCCGTGTGCACAACATGTGTTTCTTGAACTACATTTTATCAGGTACGCTTCAAACCAAACAGTTTCAAAAAACAAAAATGTATTTTTTTATGAAAAAAACATAACCTTCTAAAGTAAAGCTTAACAACACATCAAATAAAAGAGAAGCGAAAAACATACCATAGGGATAATCAAACTTATTAGTCAAAAACGAACTGACAATGTCACGGCAAAAATAATACACAACAGAGAAAACTAAAGACCGGGTGTGATCTCATGTGCTTCGGAAGGGTAAGCAGATCAAAATGATAATCAGCAAAAAAACAATTATACGAAAGGATAATAAACATGTCTTACCATTGTGTGTATATTTTCTCGATACTCTGTGATCCGACTGTGTTTCGTGTCTGAAAGACGTCTATTAACAACATCAATGTAGTCAGAATTCGCCTCTTGACCAATCCCAGAGGTGATGTGTTCTAATGTGCGGTGAATGACAACACAATGATCACACGATGATTCAGAGTTCACAATACCATACTCAATTTCAAGATCCAATACTGAAAACGATATAATATATCTGTGCAAATAAACTTTTCTGGACTTAAATTAAATATGCGTTTTACTTTGTAGCTTGTATTTATTGATCATGGCTTGAGCTAAGTCTCAATAGAGTTTGTTTTGCCTAGCCTAAGACCTACATGTAATTACACCTGCCTTAAGTCGCAAAATTTGTCAGTATTTGGGTATGTAATTGTCCATTCAGGATTTTAATATTCATGTCACATCTTCGGTTGCTAGACATTAAACTTGACATAAAAATGGACATTAGTCCAACGTAGGAGACGTTATTTTTACATGTACGGTTGTTTCTTTACTTGTATGATTTGGTTACTATCTTATTGAGTTAAATTCAACTCGACAGAATTAATTAACTAGGTAAATCATTGTTTGCTTTTAAGGATTCCAATAACCGTTCTCTACTTTAATTCATTTCTATGTTTATGTTTCAGTACTTGGAGACACTGCATTGCGCAACGAATCCCACTTATAACGAGTTATTCGTATAGCATTGAACTTATCAAACTGTTTTATATAAATAACTCTTTCATTTGGTAGAATTAAAACGAGAATTTAAAATTCCTTTAAAAAAAACTACAAAAAACGCCAACAAATATATTTCCCATTTAATTTATATACAACATATATTTACTAAGGCACAATTATCTTTTCTTAAATGGAGTCATTTGGTCTCTTGTTGATAATTTTCTCATTGGCAATCTTACCACATCTTCTTATTTTAATATAGATATGGTACCGTAACTATTAACGTTCAATGTCCAGTTTTTATCAGTTTTGTTTTTATTATGACGTTCTCAATTTTCTCAAAATCTAGCACAGTAAACTATGCTTTATCTTTGTGATTATGGGAAGATCTCATTTATCACATTTGAAAAAAAATGCAAAACTGAACCAACTTGTAACTGCACATACCCCATGAAAATGCAAGAAATAAAGTGAGACGAATACTTACATGAACTAGAAAATTTTCTCCTAGATTTTTCATCTGGGAAGACCTCTGGTACAATTTGCATAAGAACTGACTGAATTTTAGCTTCCACCTCCTTCCACGATGTTCGTCCAGCTTCACGTCTAGTAAAGTCACCTTTAACAAAATCTGAGTACTCCGAGCTGAAAAGGTAAAAATATCAATTTTTTTTTATCTTGAAGATTAAATTTGCCAAACTAATGATAAAACTTTAGCTTTTTTTCCAAAAAAAAACATATTCTGTACAAATCTTTGTACTCCGAGCTAAATTAAGGAAGATGCAAAGTACAAAAAGATTTGTTGTCCTTTCAGACTTATTTAAAGATTATTAAAGCTCGTTAAGGAAAAGCTTACCCTGTCATTGACGCACCTAGTCTCGCTCATTTTCGAGTTCATGAGATTACCCCAGTTTTATTTTTTTTACCTTGATATGTATCTTACTAATGGATTTATGAGTTTTGCACATCGGTAAACTACTGTTGCCTCTAATTTCTCACCATTCCATGCCCTCGTTATTGTTTTGGCTTTTAAATCAATGCCTAATGAGATATAATATCAATAATTTCTTTTGTTTTAGTGAATTTCATTTACGCCTAATTGTAAACAGTCTTTACATTTCATCTTGGCATTCGCTTTTTCAGTTTGAACATTTCCTATACATTCAGAACTACATGAGTATCAAAGTTCTATTTATTTTAGAAAATTCATATTGTTTATTCAAAGCAAACAATGAAATAATTATCAATGTGATCACGTATGGTTATATAAACTGTAGTAAAAAAATAAACACAAATCATTTGCGACGGAGCTGGGGGAGGGGGGGTGGAAAATGACTCCATCCACCTTTTGGAGAAAAAAATATTGAAAATAAAAATGAAAATGAAAGAGGACACCGACTAACTTCTAGGCTATAAGACTACTATAGAAAAACTTTTTTTTCTTCTCACTTTCAAAAGTGTGCCTCACACACTTTTCAGTCTACACATACCTAATTTTTTGCAGTCTATAAATAGGTGGGACATGATTTTCATCCAGTTTATACCAGTGCATCAATAAGGCAGGACTGGGAAGAGAATCGTGTTTCTCCTGCAACACCTTAACTACCGCCGCTTCTCGTTTGATTGTTTCAGCGTGAGATTTGAACTTGTTCATGTCGTTTGCTGAGTTTAATTGAAGTGCCAAATCCACTGATGTCTCTTTGTCATTTAAATCACTTGCAGTATTTTCCGAAGTAATTCCACTTTCTTCCCTTTCGCGTTCTTCTTTTACGTCGTCTATTTCTTTTAAACGTTTTCGTATCTTTTCAACCTCATTTTCTGTATAACTTCTTGTTTTCTGTATAATTTTCTCGAAATCATCTTGTGAAATCTTTGCTGGTAATATGCTAGGTCCATATTTCTCTCCAAGGAATAGCTAAAAATATAAATTTAATACAATAGCGATTAACTGAGAAATTAATGTATTCGATAATAGTATTAATATTAACTTCCAGCTGTGGAGTTAATTTCTCTGGTTGTACTGCTTTACACTTTATTTCTTGAATTATTGAGTTATACAAAATGAAAAATAACACTTTATAATTTTCGATGGTCTGAAGCGCTTTTCTGGATTTACCTTCACCAGGAACGTTCAACCATAGACATTTGAAATCCAGTATGTAGAAAAAACGAGGAAAAATTTTGAGTTATATGAACAAAGGGTACCTAAAAGGATAGAAAACTTAATCTAAGGTCAACGTTGCCTGAAGAAGTTGGAAGCTTAGTAGTCAGTGGTTGTCGTTTGTTGATATCGTTCATAAGTGTTTCTCGTTTCTCTTTTTTATATAGATTAGACCGTTGGTTTTCCTGTTTGACTTGTTTTACACTAGTCATTTTTGGGGCCCTTTATAGCTTGCTGTTCGATGTGAGCCAATGCTCCGTGTTAAAGGCCGTACTTTGACCTATAATGGTTTACTTTTACAAATTGTGACTTGGATAGAGAGTTGTCTCATTGGCACTCATGCCACATCTTCTGAAACCTACTTAAAAAAAATATTAACGGGGAATTTTAGATATGTATGTTATAGTTGATGTCAGTGATGAAGCAATGACTACTGAGCTCCTACTGGGAATTACAGTCCACCAGCAGAGATATAGATCTAATGATAATAAATGAAAATAACCGTTTATCTTTGTGTAAGCACTTGTTATTTAGTTAAGTCATTTGCTGGGCAAAACAAGTAAAACGTGTAGGAAAACTTCGCTAGTTTTGTATTTTATTTACTTGTTACTCCTTTTAATGGTTTAGCTATACGGTGTGTTAGGTAATGATTATTTCTTTGTATTTCATGTGATTAGTACACCGTCGTCCTTCGTTTCCAATAAGAAATATCTTAAACTTTACGGGAAAAGGTTTCAACATATATTTTCTATTTGTTCAGATACTTACCACCATATTAATCTCATACCGAGAACTCAGACAAGAATGAAGAGTATTAAGACATGTCTCAGGTAATGAGTGGTCGTCAAAAGTACAGTCTTTCAAACCCCAGTGAAGATCATACACGTCTAACTCAAAGCCTTTGGCAGCACAGAAATTACGAAGCTGAGGAAAGACTTTCTCCATTAGAACTGATCTTTCTGTTACCGAATCTGCAATTTAAAAGATAAAGTTTTGAATAACTCTAATTCGTAAACAAATTAAATAGGTCCTTATTCAACATCTTTGATATAGGGTCCTCTAAAATAGACACCGGGCAAGGTACAACATACAACATATGGTTAAAATGATCACATCTGGTTGGACAAATGTGCTTTGCTTGGTATGCTGTTCGACGTTACCAGAATTGGTGTAATCAAATAAAGTATATGATCAAATTCATAACTAATCAGCAGACATTGTGGTCATGATTATTGCAACGTTTAAATTTCATCTTTCACTTCATACTAGCTTCATGACTGAGACATGGACTAATATAGATACTAACTTTGCGCATGAAAAGTGTGTTGATATAGTAAAACTAACAACCATTCATTTACGGCAAAACAGTAGTGTAGTGAATAACGTTTATAGAATATATCTTTTTTCAAAAGATAATATTGGTAAATGAAGGGAAATCTCAAGTTAGTAATTTGAAACGTTACCTTGTGGATTATATAAATTACTAAAGTAATATACGCATAACAAAATCGGAAGAAGCAAACAAATGTCAAAGTGTCTTGTCAGTGGGTGTCATAAGTTTTATCTTGATGTTTTTGTCCTGTAAAAGGGAGACCTTTTTGGTATTTTCTGTTAAATTTATTCACAGCCTGTCCAATTTTGGTACGATTTAGAGTTTGACCTATTGTATTATCACATGTCTCTTGTTGAAGACCTTATGGTGACCTCTACGTGTTTCTCCCCTTTTTTAAGTGTGATGTCTCATCAAAGTAATAATCCTTATCTCTATCATAACAAGAAATACGAAAGTGAAAAGAACCGTTGTTACTAGATTTATACTATAGTCTACAAGGTTTAAGTTGTTGCTTTATCAAGACTCGATATTTTCAGGTAAACATAGGTAACTCGATAAAGACATTGTTTGTTATTCCAACAGTTAATTTTTACTGTTCCTACTGAAGAAAGTATTTCTTATTTGCGAAAAAGGGTAATTTCAGAATAGCACATCATCTTTTGCTAAATATTACATAGTTCTATTTATATTACTTACCTGAAAATCCAGAAGACAGGTAAATTCTTATTGTTTTACTATGAGCAGAACAATATCTATTTACGTTTCCATGTAAAATGTCGGAAACCCTGTCTTCGTGCGATATACGGGTTTGTTCTCTCGTCATTGGTCTTTGTAATACTGGAGTCGGCACAGGGCTGACTTGACACTGTCTAAAATCTCCATAGTCACTTGAATCATCTTCAAGATTGAATGCTGGTATATCCAAGATTTCGTCCTCTTCACCGCTCAAATTACTGTGCGTGATGTCATTGCTTTCTGCTTTGCCATCTGCTTCATCAGCTGTAGCGTCAGTACTTGTAACGTTTACAGTTACTGCAGAGTGTCCATTTTTGTGTCCATGTTCATTCTTGATATCAGGTAAAGCCCTCCCATTTTCTACCTTCCCATTTGTTTCCACTTTAGGTGTTGGTTTCTTTGGTTTGATGACTTCTATATCGTTATAGCGATTAAATATATCAGGCCTTTTAGTCTTGAAATAGAAATAACATGATGTACATGACTTAAAGAAAAACAGCAAGGGCACTTTTAATGCGTATCGTATATCGTATAAATAGGCCTGAAAATGGAGTATTGGTGGCATTTCAAATGCTTAATTACTGGAATACAAAACAACAATACACAACAATCATTTTAATGAATCATATGAGCATTTTATCTTTATTTTAAAATGCATTTCAGGTAAGTGGTACATGAGGCCGAATATTGTAAATCCCAAACTATTGAATGTCGAAGAACAATACACACAATATGACATCTCAAAATGAAATCCTGAGCAATAGGAAGATACCAAGTAATATAAGAATATAACAAATATTGCATCTTCTTTTTTTCACTGAATATTTCTTAAGTTATATCATTCTAGCACAGAAGCATTGGCAACCGGGCTAATGATTCAATCGACAACGCACCCGAAAGTATTGACATCACTTAGAAGTAGTTATGTCGATAAAGATTATAAGGGGTTGAGTGTTCAAAAGAATATTTACTACCGGAACATGTGCATGTGTTTTCCCGAGTCGGGGTGGTAGTAGAAATTATTGCTTTTTAACTTCAGGTAAGCATATTTACATTCCTACTGGTTGCTTTTAAGTTATATACTGACTTTTTTTATTTTTTGGGTCCTCTCATGTTTAGATACTTATTATGATGAAGGCTTAAGACATGGGTGTAGTGGCCACTTAAATCGATTTCATACGTTTCAGAGAAATGTGTATGGTATATTGAAATTGGTATCATACGAACAACAGGGGATACGGTGTATGCGTCCATGAAACAGCAAAGACACTAACAACCAAAGGAGATCTAGTCGATGTCTACATACAGTTTAAAACGATAGACAGCTATCTATACTAAATGTCAAGCTTTAAATCGTCAACAGTTTATATTGCTAAGCTTACAGATGGCTTTCAAGGATATTCTAACTTCACAAACTTGCCGTTTGTTTTCTAGTGACATGGATCATAGTGGCATGGATCATTAGGCTTAATGATTGTTTTCTAGTGGCATGGATCATTAGACTTAATGGTTGTGTTCTAGTGTCATGGATCATTAGACTTAATGGTTGTTTTCTAGTGGCATGGATCATTAGACTTAATTGTTGTTTTCTAGTGGCATGGATCATTAGACTTAATGGTTGTTTTCTAGTGTCATGGATCATTAGACTTAATGATTGTTTTCTAGTGGCATTGATCATTAGACTTAATGGTTGTGTTCTAGTGTCATGGATCATTAGACTTAATGGTTGTTTTCTAGTGGCATGGATCATTAGACTTAATTGTTGTTTTCTAGTGGCATGGATCATTAGACTTAATGGTTGTTTTCTAGTGTCATGGATCATTAGACTTAATGGTTGTGTTCTAGTGGCATGGATCATTAGACTTAATGATTGTTTTCTAGTGGCATGGATCATTAGACTTAATGGTTGTGTTCTAGTGGCATGGATCAATATACTTAATGATTGTGTTCTAGTGACATGGATCATTAGACTTAATGGTTGTTTTCTAGTGGCATGGATCAATATACTTAATGGTTGTGTTCTAGTGGCATGGATCATTAGACTTTATGGTTGTTTTCTAGTGGCATGGATCAATATACTTAATGGTTGTGTTCTAGTGGCATGGATCATTAGACTTAATTGTTGTTTTCTAGTTGCAATCTGACTTACTTAACTTAAAGATCGTTTTCTTGTGGTATTATAACTTACAAGAGTTGTCGATTATTTTCTAGTGACATTCTGACTTACTTGACTTACCGGTGGTTTTCTAGTGAAATGTTGACTGGTTGAGCTATCAGGCGTTTCTTTGTCTTCAGACTCTGTTAAACTGTTCATATGATCATCTATTCGTTTATTTAAAACTCTCTACAAATAGATTCGGCTTAGTTTTAATACAGTACATGAGAAAACTATAAAATCAAAGTAAGAGTATTGAAATAAAACTAAAATGGGATCAATGTACATTAGAAAGGATATTCAATCGAACTAATGGATCAAGAACTTGTATTGCTATTCTTTATCTTAAAAGTTCCGCATAATGTCTTTATATAAGTGAGTGGGAGTTACTCTTTTAAGTATAATTTTCCGCATAATGTCTTTATATAAGTGAGTGGGAGTTACTCGTTTAAGTATAATTTTCCGCATAATATCTTTGTATAAGTGAGTGGGAGTTACTCTTTTAAGTATAATTTTAAGGCTTCAGCATTAGCAGAACTTTTTGTTGTCAACAAAATCCACTGTACAGGTTTTCTTTTTATCTACATATGAGGAAGCATATCACTTATTACTCAAAGAGAAAGAAATGGTAATAAAAAGAGGTGAATGTATGATACACCAGCCACATTGGTATATTGTCAAGTTTAAGTTACAATGTTTTTATTCAGAAAGTCATCTGTCGGTTATAGGAAAGTATTAAAAAAATACCCCGAACTCCAAGGTAAATTCAAAAAGGGGTAGTCCATAAAACATACCAAAATCAACCAACAGAACGAATGGAAAACAATCGTCATATTCCTAACTTGGTACAGGTATTTCCCGAATAAAATGGTGGATTAAACCTGGTTTTATTGCTAGCTAAACCTCCCACTTGTATGACAGATGTTTATAGTTATATTGAGAGATTACAGTCAGTGCAGTTACATGTATCAACAGGATGTTACAACAAGTGCATACAGTTTATAAATTTTCGATGCGTCCTCTTTGTAAAGCATAAGTTATATATGCTTATGCTTCACAAAGAGGATGCATCGAAAGTTTATAAACTGTATGCACTTGTTGTAACATCCTGTTGATACATGTAACTGCACTGACTGTAATCTCTCACTATAACTATATGCATATGTTAATAAATTTTCCATATTCCCACGTAAATATTCCATGAGTCAACAAAGTTTATGCATTCACTTTTTTTAAATTAATGTACATAGAATATATCTAAAGGATAAAAATAAACAAAAAGGAGACAGTTACCTAATAGATAAGTTTTAATTCATTCTGATATTTATTTCATCATTTTATAAATTTCTTTGTTATTGCTAGCTGGAATTCAATCTTACAAATCAATTCGATTAAATATATAGTCATAATACTGCTTGTAAAAGGGGGTATATGTGACTTTGACTGTAATCAACTTTCATCTAAATATGCATATAACAGTCCCTACTGTTGACACAACAATATCTCAAGTACATCATAAGGCAAGTAAGAAAATAAGTATTTATTGATACTGCTTACTCTAAGATGATTGACAACTCTTTTGTCAACATCAACGGTATACTTTTTGTACTGCTTATTCCAGTGAGCATCGGCAGCCTGAAAAAAAAAATTTGTTCATGTATTTATTTTTAAATATTAGAACCAAACTCTTTACCATATATTCATTTAAACATGATGTCTTCTGTTCCTAGAATCTATATGTAACTTTTCTATCTTTGGTGTGCTAGTATAACTACAATCCAAAGCTTACATAATTATGGTTTTCTCATATACAGTATTAAAAAACGTTTTGAAGAAAATATTTTAACTGTACAGATATGCCATATCCAATATGCATCGTGCACTGTGTAACAACCATACATGAAACCAATGGGCAAACGCAGCCCCGACTAACCAAACCTATTTTCTTTTCATAAAAACTCACAGAAGGCACTATTTTTTGGGCCGGTTTTATTTTTTGTTTGATGTTGAAGATACCAGTGCTATAAGCAGACTTCTAAGCATTATATAAATAGTATCTCAAATGACGGTTGATCAAACGTTTCCTCGGTGAATGAACATAGACTTATCTAATATTGGTATAATCATAAAGTAAAGGGGTGTCTTTCCCATGAATGTGTTTCTCTTGAATTCAAAATAGTCATTATCTGCGATATCATACATATTTAACCGGATTATATTTTTTAAATATCTGATGATCATTTAAAAATTTTAAAATATTGTATTTTTAGAAAAAGAAAAGATGCATTTATGAGTATGTAAATTTGGAAATCGGAATCAAACTTGCAGTTAGCATTCTAATAACCATCTCAGCAAATCTATTTAAATGCCTGTTGTCATCGCTGCATGTGGTAACACATCAATAATCATATAAAATATTAAAGTCATCTTACAAACAATGTCATATAAAGCATCAAACTTTATCAATAAAAAGCTTTGAGTTGCTAAACAGATATATATATCTTAGCAAGCAGCTTGCATTAAAAAAAATGTTTTGATATTTTTTTTTGCATATCAGACCGGACCCTATAATCTTATAGATAGAAATAAAATGAATTTTTCATACAAATGTCACACGTCGAGCGTAGTGTATCCAAAAAATCCATCCTATAATCAACTTGAGTGCAAAATGATAGAAGAAAATTTTAAAGGAAACTAAATAGTCATTTTAAGCACAAGGACATTCATTTTGATATTCCACATGCTACTTGATATCATCTTATGATTTCAGATTTACTCTTAAATGCTATTTACAGTTAATATTTCAATTTGATGATTATGAAAAGACAGTTTGATGATTAAAAATCATATTAAAAAAATCAGACGCCAGTTAACATGAGTACAAATTTCTTTTTGTTGGAGAATATTTTGCGGATCTTACCTTCTTTTTCGGCTTAGCCGAAGCCTTTCTCATCTTTAGATGGTAAAAATGAAAACACGCTTATGATATATAACAATATCAAACTAATTAAATTGTTAATTTATTCCAACAAAATGTATCTCAATACAACTTTCCTTCCAGAATTTTAGAATATTTCGATATATGTATCCAAGTTAAAAATCACTTCGACTTAGTGCTTAGAGTTATATAAATCAAGCACAGTCAAGTGTCATACATATATTAAATGCGACCCGGAGTATTACATAAATAGGATAATTTGCTATATTCAATATTGATACAAAATATGAGCCGACCATTAAATAAATGACTAATTTTCTCGTTTATAGATCGTATGTCCTATCAAATACAAGTTTCTGTTCTATTGTAATACGGTGTTCAGACGCATTGTAAATATTAAGTACGTGAGCATGTCTGTAGTTGTTTATTACATATAATTTCAAATCAATAATATCGAAAAATATTAATTTGACCTAAAAGCAAGGTTATGTAAAGTTAAACAAACTATTAAAGCTAAAAGAATAACAAAAAATAGAATCAAATTACCACAGAAAATGAATTCCAATAATGATTTTATTGTAAGGTGAGGCTTTAGTGGAACATTTGATGACAATTACATTTTCGGGCAATAATTGATCCGACATTCGTTCTGCAATTGTTGATAAATAATTTCACTTTCTATATCAACAAAAAATAGTCAATATGAATTGCTTGAAAGGAGACTTAGAAAATAATAGTTTTATAAAGCATATTAGGGCCATTAACCTGATATAGGATATTAGATCGTTTCTGTTATAATGTGTAACTGTTAAATTCATAAAGAAAAAACATATCTTTGTTATAAATGTTTCAATAGAAAAAAACTTCTCAGCCAGAAAATCCAAATTATTGACAATAGAAACACGATGAAATGAAACCAATGTAATGGTACATCTGAACATTACCATTCAACTTTATGATTTGATGTAATATGGCTCAACGTTCTTTATACGAAATTCTAGTCCAACAGTCCATACTGTTGTTTGACATTGAGAGACTTATGTGTTCAGGGTAGAATGTTGATTGTCTGTTTGATTTATTCACAAATTTTCCACATTAATGCATAAATGGCAATGATGAAGTTTAGCATATTGTATTTTGGTTTATAGTTGAAGAATGAAATGTCTTTTTTTTCATAAAGTTTTGTGATGTTCTTGTTTATCTCAGTTTATTCACATCTAACAAAGGAAAATGCTATCATCCTACGTTTTGTATAAAACTATTCTTCAAATACAACTCAATCATGGGTCCTCGGAGGGTTCGTTCCTTGCACACTAACAGGGAGAAGCGTAGTGGAGTAACCCGAGGTTTGCCGATTTAACAAGTCATTTTACTCTGCTGTCTAATGACCAGCAAAAGCGATATGACAAACGATCATTACGCTTTAAGGCAAAATATATATCGCAATGTGGATAAGGTATAAACAACTAAAGCAATTCCAATACGTGTTAAGCCATCAAATCACATAAGCATATACATGCACTCTGGTACACATTACTCGAAAATCGCTAATGAAAAAATGGTACTGAATAACAGTATGATTTTGTTTCTCGTGGTATAATGTCAAAAATATGTGTGCATTAATGGCATTATTTGCGCCTGAATACAGCGAAATATCAGATATAAAATTTAGGATTTTTTATAGCTGTCATCGGAGAAAAAGATTACAGCTGTTAATGCCTTATTCTAAATTCTTCAGCCATGTACGGGGACCTATAAGTTACCTTTGTCCATTTGCCCTTTATATCTAAAATATGGTATAATTGTCTTACCTCCTCTGGGTTAGACAGAGTTGTATTTCCCTTTGGTTGTCTGTGGAAAGTGGGTTCTCGTTTGACTTGTAATGGAGGCAATACTCCTGCTCTCCTTCTGCCATCATCAGCATGCTGAAATAAACATTTAGAATGTAATATTTTTTTTATTTATAGAACAATGGCATATTATGAATTCATGCGGAATATTTCTGGATGTACATTCCTTTCTGATAGCCCATCCTTTTCTACGATATTTCCTGTTTGAAAATGTTATGGGGTGATGGATGAACCAATGTATAAACAATACGACTGTATAAAGTGAATGCTAAAACAACTCTTGGATGAAACTGTAAGATAATCATATTGTCACTTTCCCCCTCACGTTATGCGTAATGTATGCAATGCACAAGTACCTGTTATAAAAAATAAAGACGTGTGGACTGGGAAAGAAAAATCAGTTTGAATGTTTGTTTAGGTACCCTTGGCTATAACAAGGCTAGTTTTTTTTTCTGGTAGAAGAAGCCGGCGTACCATGGGAAAACCACAGAACTTCGGTAAGGAAACGGGGTTCGAACTCATAACCTCAGTGTTGCCAGGCTGGTGATCACTGTAGACGAACTACTGATAGTCATTCATAACTTACTTTGATTTGGTTGTATGATCATTTGAGAGCATTCTTTATTTATTGTGAAATACTTTCGTCATATCTCAACATCGACATTATAATTTTGTTTGAAATTTAACTCAATGAACAAACACGTGTCAGGATAAAAGGGTACATTTAACCTCTATAAAAAAATATACAAGTTCAGGTTAAACTTTTTAATTGCCACATTTATAACATAATAATTAGAATTAGTAATACTTTAAAGAAACTAATAGAATGTTGTTCTATGGTTAGCTTGTTCCTAGGGTGAAACTAGATTTAAAGCCAACATTCACCCACAGTTCTTATTTTTAACCTTATATTCACATAAAACTAGCAATCGTTGGAATTTTAAATGTTTTAATTGTAGCTTTATAGACCTGTTTAATGAACTGTTTGGCAATTAATAATTGAAACCTGCAATATATTTGTCTCCAGTAAAACTCTACTTTATTATATTCCCTAACTGCGAGGAAACTACATTTGAGTTTAAAATCAAATGAAAGTGAAATATTTGTTTGCTATATTTTTGTATTTATATCTATTATTAAAGTTTCTCTATCTAATTACGTTTTGGTATTATGAACACTCTTTATATATATTGGTCTAGGTATTCATATCAATTTAGTTACTTTCTGATATCAAATATTGTACCAAAATGTTTACAGAAATCTTTAATCTTAAGTTGTGAGTACAGTAAATGCATTTTGTAAACGTTGCAGTCTTATAGTTTGTCTACGATTGTCGATAGACACTTGTATGAAAGATAACTGCAACGTTAAGCTACATTTTCGATTTTATATTATTACACGGCAATGTGTTTGCTAAAAAAAAGTACCTGTGTTATATACGAAAATGAAATATATGCCGTTTAAAAAGTATTTAATGTTAAACAAGCGTCACTGAAGCCAGTCTTGATAGGAATGTGACCTATAAATGTTTGATATATAACAGACTCCAAGGGTGTTAGACCATGGAAGTATTATATTGTCAATATAATACTTCCATGGTTAGACTAAGAAGGTATATAAAATTGCTGCTGTAGGCCAAGATTTGAGTTGTGTCCCATGTACGGATTCCGTCTGATTTTTATCTTCTATTTTGTATTGAGCATGCTTAACAAACATATCATAAAATACTAGAAATATTATGATCTCTTTTGGTTTTCTTTTGGTACTGGTAAAAACAAGCAAATATTTCAAAACAATTATAAGTTGTATACTTTCACGAATAATATAAGTCCTGGACTTTAATTTTCATTTTCTAGATAATTACAGACCTAGGGTACGATTATATTACAACATTGGGAACAATTTTAATATTATTTTCTGATTTAAGAAATTTAAATTGGTTATTGGTTTTATTTATATTGTTATGCAGTTAAATCTTAGGGGGAATGTTCGAGTACACGTACTTGTAAACGAAAGTGCCATTGACATTTACTGCACCGTATATTTAAATATTTGCTTTTAATTTCATGTCACTCTCACAAACAAGTTCACGATGAATTACAACGCTTATTACTAAGCACTTCTGTACAATTTAAAGCTTTAACATGTTTTAGAACATATAAATTATAAATTTTAAAGATTCATTTAAAATTAATATCGGTAATACTACCACACTGATTTTTGTTGCATCTGAGATTTGTTGAGTGGTAATCAGAACATTTCAGTTTTGAATAATGATTATGAATACCAATAATTGAAAAAAATCAAAATAGGCGTTTTTCATAAAAAGGAATGAATTGTATAGATGAGAATCATTATATATCAATAGCTGATTCAAAGTCACATAGATCAATGATAACAATTCATTGCACCGGGTATTCATACATTTGACAATTATTCTGATTAGGGATTGCTAGCACATGTAACAATTACTCTGACTAGGGATTGCTTGCACATGTAACAATTACTTTGACTAAGGATTGCTTGCACATGTAACAATTACTGTGACTTAGGATTGCTTGCACATGTAACAACTACTCTGACTAAGGATTGCTTGCACATGTAACAATTACTGTGACTTAGGATTGCTTGCACATGTAACAATAACTCTGACTAAGGATTGCTTGCACATGTAACAACTACTCTGACTAAGGATTGCTTACACATGTAACAATTATTCTTACTAAATATTGCTAGCACATGTAACAATTACTTTGACTAAGGATTGCTTGAACATGTAACAATTACTATGACTAAGGATTGCTTGCACATGTAACAATTACTATGACTAAGAATTGCTTGCACATGTAACAATTACTCTGACTATAGGGATTGCTTGTACATTTAACCATTTCTTAACCTTTAGATTAATCGCATTTGTAATAATTTCTCTGACTAAGAACTATTACTAGATATTGAATTTGATATATAATAATCATGTTACTCTTCATTGGATTGCTGTAGTATATGTGAGTTATCAAATGAAAGTGTAAATTGCAACCATCAAATTATAAGTACTGGTTATTTTTTGTATTTTCTGTTGTTTGGAGATGTCTTTGTGGTGAATTGCGTAGAAAGGCCATCGACATGTTTTTATGTCCGTATTATTCTGTCCTATAAATTTTCAATTTTTATTTTTACATTGATTATAACTCATTCACTTATATTTGCCATCTTTACAAAGTGTGCGTCGTACAACATTGTCCGCTATTTTTTTTTAATATAGTCCACTTTCAAGTCATATAATATAAGATGCATCAAAAGTAAAAGATTTTAAATCAATTTGACAAAATAAATCATTTTAGGATATATATTCTGTTTTTCATAATAGTGTATAATTCGCTCGAATCCCCATATGGAATTTACTGACCCCATATATATCGTATTAGGTCACTAGCACACTATGTAACTAATAATATTGCAAATTTGGAATTCCTATAACAACATGCATTTGCTGTTTATAAAGTTTTGGTTTATATAGATATCATACTGTAATCTGATATGAATAGATGACTATAATCTGCAGTATATAAGTATGATTGTCAATGATACAATTATCCACCTGAGGCCCAAGGACGAGGATATAAACAACCATAGGTCACCGTACGGCCTTCAACAATGAGCAAATCCCCATACGTATAGTAATCCATAAAAGATACCAGTATGCCAAAATGTGCAAAAATGAAGAGAAACTAACGGCTTTATATATGATCATATATTTCCAAAAACACTAAACAAAAACAGAAATGGCATAACTCATCAAAACTCTTAAAATCGAGACAAGACAGGTCCGCATTGTTGACAAGATAAATATTTTTTTTAGCTTTCAAGTTCACCGCAAAGTCTGGAAAGAGTGGGATACTAAGTCTTATCATCTTATTCAGATAATTCAGGCTGACTATAAAACAACAGAACCGTTTCAGATTTAAACGAGGGAACTAATGAATAATTTCTTGACGAGTTTGAACAATAACGGTTTAGTGTACCTTTTCTCTACCGTAGAAACCGATGAAATTCCTCAGTCTTCAAAGATTTTTCTTTAATTCAATTCAGCTTATTTATGGTAGTTTAGTTTGGACGAAAGCTACAAATGATTTAATAACATCTCCCTTGACTTCAGCATTTAAACTCGTCGTTTAGAAGAACTAAAAATTAAAATTCAAGCGATGTAAAGATAAATGCATCAATTTCCAACGTGTAAGGTCTTGAATTGAATGAATAATTTTAAAATATAGATTTAGTATGTAAAATTATTCGGCTGTTAAACGATATTAGCATTTAAGTTTAATTGAAGTGAAAAATATTTAAAATGTTGATACGGTATAAATTTATTGATGTGGAAGGGTCCTTTGAAACCACTCCCTGTAATTTGTAATGTGTATTGTTCAAAAAGATGCTTCAACGAGACAAACAAACTTAAAAAAATGATTTGAGTGTTTGTACGATTTTATGGATGTTATAACTTTGAATAAGTACATATGTATGTACTTTAATGATAAATTTTAAACTGTTTTATATGCATGTATAATATTAAATGTGCTGTTTAAATACTATATTACATTTAACAATCTTTGACGAATTAGGATCATTATTTGTAATGTTTAAAACTTGATACCTTCTTATTTTTTTTTTTATCAAAACAGTAAACTAAAACAGAATTTTGTTGAATTACAACATTGGTAAGATACTACGGGGGTGTTTAACGACATTGACTACCCATGAGAGTCTCGCACGGTCGGCTTGGTAAGATAGGAAGACTTTAAGTCTACTTTTATACTGTAAATTGACACGGTTCCTAAATAAACTGATATGACTTGTTTTCTATATCCTGCACAACAGATATTTTTTGTGTTTAAAATTTTTCGCAAACCATGGAAATCCATGTGGAAGCACAGGCAACAAAGTACATAAAATATGTAGATACTTTTAGGGCTTAAACAAGTTTAAAAAGACATTAGTGTACAAATAATACACAAAGAAGGATGACTTTATATTAAATTCAAGTAGGTTCGTATCAAGACGTGAATATGATAAAC